AAACGATGAAAATATTCAAATATCAACAATAAAATTGATAATTTTGAAACGTATTCATTCATCATTTCATTGTCTCAAATAAATTCCAAACTTCATAATGTTGCAAAATGTAAAAACAAACTAGTTTTATAAAATTTCTCAATGAAACCTTAAAACTTTACATTAATAAGCGTAAATGCATAATATGTAGGGTATTTCTGACAAATTTATATTTTAAAAACTTTAAAATCATTATGATCATTAAAATTGTAATGATTTTTTCATTTAATTTTGTTTATTTAATTTATACTAAAGATGAAAATTACAGTACAACTTTGTACTGTAATTTCTTGCTTTTCTGGGCCCCTAGAGAGAGGCAAAACACTAATTCTTGCTTTTTTTCTGTTAATAGTGTTAATATAATTTTGATTTAATAAAAATATTTCACCTATTTTCTTATTTTTATGTTTAAATAGAATGTAGGCAAAATTTGGGTTCGAACTCATTCACTACAATACAACCGAAACTTTAAATAGCAAACCCAAATTTCATTAAATTTCATTAAAAAAAAAAAAATTATTGCATACAAAAAAAAAATTTTTTTTTCAAAATGTAAAAATTTGGATTTGAACTGAGGTCCCCATATTTCATATTATAAGGCAAAATTTTAAAATTCTTAAAGATTAAGACCTAAATCCGGACATAGGGTGGACAAGACACTGTTCCTAGCCTTGGGAATAATATTGCGGTTTCAAGGGAATATACATGGAAAACGTTTCAACAACTTAATCTAACCTAACACATAAACTAAACCTAATATTGATTCCCATTACACACCCCAAACTAAACCCTACCCGACTTGAATATAAACAAAATCTATAATTTAATCGCGCAATTTTAGTATAAATATATTCAACAAAATTTTTATTTTTAAATATTAATGAGGATATTTTTTTTTTTTCATGAAAATTAAAAATTGCTTTTCAATTCAAAATCAGAATGAACATCATAAGTCAAAATTATAATTTCAATCAAAAATATTGTACATATTATAAAAATAATCAGAATTGAATCAAAATTTTAAAATTAATAACAAAATAGCTAAAATTACACTAATTAATGTGAAGGAATTTAAGAAAAAATTAATGGAATAAGTTCTTACCATAAAGCTGCAAATAACAACTAGAAGAATGAAAATTTTCGGAATGTTTTATTGAACTTTTTTCAACAATAACAACAATATTAAGAGATTTGCATCGGGAATCAATTTTCAAAACATTTTTAATACCAAAAAGAAGACATGTATTGTACAAGGAGTTTGAAATATGTATTTTTGTAGAAAAAATGTTGGAACAACTCAAATTAGACAAATCTAAGAATCTGGACTAGAAAAACTGCTTCTAAGTTTATTGTATAAGGTAAACAGCTGTATTTTCGACTAATTTTTCACACCTCTGACTAAAACACATCTTACTTTGATATTCCTTTATTACATCATTGGTTTCGATCGGTTTAAACAAATTTTTAGATAAAATTTTTAATTTTTTATTCAGTTTGTTTCTATTTTGATCTTTTTAGTGTACCTAATTCAGTCCGTAAACAAGCTATAATATAAACTTATGGAGAAGAATATTATGGAAAAGAATATTATCCTATTATAGACACGAATCAACAAATTATTATGGACATGTTTACAGAACTTCTACACCTTTGAAGATAGAAAGCTGAAATTTTATACGAACATGCAAATTTTTGATACCATTTTTCTTCTACATCGTACCTTACAGGAGTCTGAAATTTTAGCAGCTCTTAGATATTCATAAATATTTTATTTCGTTAGAAGAACATTTTTTCCCGTCTCCATCCCTTCTCAACTTATCGCATCTTGAAATTTGTAAAATTTGAATTTTTGACGCCTTATATTTTAAAAACCACAAGCTTTTTTAAATTTCTATAAACGCAAAAAACCAACGGTAAATTCCATGACACTAAAAAGTATCTTTATTTTTCTTAGCTCATGCAATTAACCATTAAAATTGAGCATTATGTTAACCCCTCTTTACACACTTACAATATGGTTTGGCCCAACTTTATTATTGTATATATTTTAAAATTGCATTTTCTAATAATTTGCTAACATACTTAGTTTCTCTCTATATAGTTTCTATATAGTTGCTAGTTACTTAGTTTCTCTAACAAGAAAATGAGTATTAAGTGAATGTACCTAAAGCGGTCTTAAATGTTTTTAATCATTTTTCTAACTCTGAAGAAAAACCATAGAACCACAATAATAAAAAATATATTTTTTCTTAAATTTTAGGTGAAATTACAACATTCTCTGAAAAAATTGAACTATTCATGCTCCACAAAAACTAAATAATAAATTCAAAATTATATCGGAAGCGCTGTGGACTCGAAAATCAACTTAATTGTAAAAAAATAATTTAAAAACCTATTTAATTTTGATTTGTAACTTAATGTAAATTTTTTTAGAAGCAAATTATATGCATGGGACCGAATTATTGCCGTTTACCTCAATATAATTGGAACAAACGATGAAAATATTCAAATATCAACAATAAAATTGATAATTTTGAAACGTATTCATTCATCATTTCATTGTCTCAAATAAATTCCAAACTTCATAATGTTGCAAAATGTAAAAACAAACTAGTTTTATAAAATTTCTCAATGAAACCTTAAAACTTTACATTAATAAGCGTAAATGCATAATATGTAGGGTATTTCTGACAAATTTATATTTTAAAAACTTTAAAATCATTATGATCATTAAAATTGTAATGATTTTTTCATTTAATTTTGTTTATTTAATTTATACTAAAGATGAAAATTACAGTACAACTTTGTACTGTAATTTCTTGCTTTTCTGGGCCCCTAGAGAGAGGCAAAACACTAATTCTTGCTTTTTTTCTGTTAATAGTGTTAATATAATTTTGATTTAATAAAAATATTTCACCTATTTTCTTATTTTTATGTTTAAATAGAATGTAGGCAAAATTTGGGTTCGAACTCATTCACTACAATACAACCGAAACTTTAAATAGCAAACCCAAATTTCATTAAATTTCATTAAAAAAAAAAAAATTATTGCATACAAAAAAAAAATTTTTTTTTCAAAATGTAAAAATTTGGATTTGAACTGAGGTCCCCATATTTCATATTATAAGGCAAAATTTTAAAATTCTTAAAGATTAAGACCTAAATCCGGACATAGGGTGGACAAGACACTGTTCCTAGCCTTGGGAACAATATTGCGGTTTCAAGGGAATATACATGGAAAACGTTTCAACAACTTAATCTAACCTAACACATAAACTAAACCTAATATTGATTCCCATTACACACCCCAAACTAAACCCTACCCGACTTGAATATAAACAAAATCTATAATTTAATCGCGCAATTTTAGTATAAATATATTCAACAAAATTTTTATTTTTAAATATTAATGAGGATATTTTTTTTTTTCATGAAAATTAAAAATTGCTTTTTAATTCAAAATCAGAATGAACATCATAAGTCAAAATTATAATTTCAATCAAAAATATTGTACATATTATAAAAATAATCAGAATTGAATCAAAATTTTAAAATTAATAACAAAATAGCTAAAATTACACTAATTAATGTGAAGGAATTTAAGAAAAAATTAATGGAATAAGTTCTTACCATAAAGCTGCAAATAACAACTAGAAGAATGAAAATTTTCGGAATGTTTTATTGAACTTTTTTCAACAATAACAACAATATTAAGAGATTTGCATCGGGAATCAATTTTCAAAACATTTTTAATACCAAAAAGAAGACATGTATTGTACAAGGAGTTTGAAATATGTATTTTTGTAGAAAAAATGTTGGAACAACTCAAATTAGACAAATCTAAGAATCTGGACTAGAAAAACTGCTTCTAAGTTTATTGTATAAGGTAAACAGCTGTATTTTCGACTAATTTTTCACACCTCTGACTAAAACACATCTTACTTTGATATTCCTTTATTACATCATTGGTTTCGATCGGTTTAAACAAATTTTTAGATAAAATTTTTAATTTTTTATTCAGTTTGTTTCTATTTTGATCTTTTTAGTGTACCTAATTCAGTCCGTAAACAAGCTATAATATAAACTTATGGAGAAGAATATTATGGAAAAGAATATTATCCTATTATAGACACGAATCAACAAATTATTATGGACATGTTTACAGAACCTCTACACCTTTGAAGATAGAAAGCTGAAATTTTATACGAACATGCAAATTTTTGATACCATTTTTCTTCTACATCGTACCTTACAGGAGTCTGAAATTTTAGCAGCTCTTAGATATTCATAAATATTTTATTTCGTTAGAAGAACATTTTTTCCCGTCTCCATCCCTTCTCAACTTATCGCATCTTGAAATTTGTAAAATTTGAATTTTTGACGCCTTATATTTTAAAAACCACAACCTTTTTTAAATTTCTATAAACGCAAAAAACCAACGGTAAATTCCATGACACTAAAAAGTATCTTTATTTTTCTTAGCTCATGCAATTAACCATTAAAATTGAGCATTATGTTAACCCCTCTTTACACACTTACAATATGGTTTGGCCCAACTTTATTATTGTATATATTTTAAAATTGCATTTTCTAATAATTTGCTAACATACTTAGTTTCTCTCTATATAGTTTCTATATAGTTGCTAGTTACTTAGTTTCTCTAACAAGAAAATGAGTATTAAGTGAATGTACCTAAAGCGGTCTCAAATGTTTTTAATCATTTTTCTAACTCTGAAGAAAAACCATAGAACCACAATAATAAAAAATATATTTTTTCTTAACACTAGAACTACCAACATTTTATGTATACCTAGTTGTACCAATCCGTCAATTTGACGGATATTTGAAAAATGGAATTTAATAAAAAAATTGTGAATAAACAAACTTCTATTTTATTGTAATTTAAAATAAAAAAGGTACAAATTCAGTTATACAATATATAGTAAATAAATAAAAATGATTTATGTAGCACATTTCTTACAAATAGAAATTTTTTCGGCAGTACACTTCCCACACATGTAGTTCGTGCATTTAAAACAAAGAGAATTAGTTTTGTTTTTATTGCAGAATCCAATTACACAAGATTTTCGCTGCATATCTTCTTTAGGATGTTCCGAAGTAGATTTCATGGTCTCTATTATACTCCATTTTTCTGGCTGCGAGGATTTCAGCATTTTATTATGTGTATATTTATCAGCGAGTTCTTCACATAATTGGTATAAAAATTGTTTTCTCGTTATATTTTCGCCAGTAATATCCTTGTATAAGCTCCAGGCGTTGATTCCTGCCAAATCTAAAATATTATAGAAAACTTGCAATGGCCATCTACGGGAACTTGCTTTTACACTGTACTTCCGAGCCATTTGGTCAATAACATCTACTCCGAACTTAGTTTTGTTATAGAATTCGACAGTTTCTGGTAAAAGTTTATAATTTTTGGCAATCTTCACGTTGGTATGTTTGGAACTCAGAACTAATACTTTTTTCGCAGGCTTTGATTTGTAAATAGTGAGAACTATATTATCAGACTTTAATAGTATAGTTTCATACCGAGCCATGTTATCTTTTTTTACTTTTGCTATTTGTGGTAATTCTTTTTTATTACTTCGCAGAGTTCCAACTAATGTTGTTTTTTTAGCTAAAAGTTTTTTTGTCAATGGAATACTGGTAAAAAAATTGTCAGTAGTTATACTTCTTCCGCAACCTAAATAAGGTTCAACAAGCTTTAGAACCACATATTCATGTAAAGGTGTCGATGATATTCGTAAATTATCTTTTCCTAGGTATGGAAAACCATTTAGTACATATCTATTTTCAGCATCGGTTACCAACCAAAACTTTATCCCAAATTTAGAAGGTTTATTTGGCATGTATTGCGTAAACCTACATCTTGCCTTGGTTGGAAAAAGTTGTTCGTCTATGGTAAGAGAAGAACCCGGTTTGTAGCAGTTTTGACTATTATTCATAAATGCATTCCATGTTTCGGAAACTAGTGCAAATTTATCTACTTGTAAACGACTACTTCTTTCATTTTTTTTATCAAATCGAATGAAGCGCAAAATTTCCGTGAACCTGTTTCTACTCATTGTACTTTTGAAAAAAGGAGGTCCCCATTTTTTTGACCACAAATATGATATTTTCATATTTTTTGATTCATATGCTCCCCTAGCATATAAAATCGCTATAAAAGCATATAATTCATCAATGCTTGTTGTCCAATGATTACCTAAAACATTTTGTGCTTCTGTTTCTGTGCAATTTTTAATATGCTCTATCATGCGATTATTAATTAGTAACATAAACGCGCTACTAACTTGACCTGATATTATATTCCGCTTGGTGTAAGCAGTTGGTCCTGAAGTAGCCTTGAAAATATTATGTGAAGGTGATCTACCAGCGCAACCACCTTTTTGAATTTCTTTCCAAACAGTTCCATCACTTGCAATGTGTACATCTTTACGCGTTATATTAGCGTTGCTGGTTTCGTTATCACTTTCAGAGCTTGAACAAATTCGCATACGTTTTCGACATCTAAAGAAAGAAGCAGGAAATTCATTTTCCTTTTCACATTCTGAATCAGATTTTTCAACTTCATTGCTGTCTATACTTGTATCATTTTCATTGAACTCAGGTGTTTCAATTTCTATTTCATCATCCAAAAAATCAAAATTTTTATTTGAATTCGTATCGGAAAAATTCTCATCAATGTTGGTTAGTGTTTCCAATAATTTTGTTCTAGTATTTCGGTTCATAATTATAAAACCCTATTAGAACGGCAAATGTTTTATATATGAATATTATTTTGAATAAAATTAAACTTACCTTCGTGATATAGTAATTTTATTATAAAAAAGACAATTATCACTTTTATATACATAAAATTTTGTAAAAACAATAAAATTAACTTTTTTCACTGTGTTACGTTTGCAAAATATGGAACTGCTATAAAAATATCTTTATACAACAAAAACGCATCAACTAAATAAATATAATATATTACCTAACAGTATTTTATTCTTCATTTATGGGGACTTCCCGGAATATATAAATAGAATATTTATTCAATGAGAAGTTTTACTTTTTTTCATTCAAGCAACTGTAAATTTGGCCAGTATTTATAAATATAAGAGCAAAATTATTAATTCCGTCATTTTGAGGGGTTGGTAAGTATAAGTATACATAAGGCGTTTCCTCAGAATTAACGGTTTTATAAACAAGACGATAGTCAATTTTTGAGTACCTCAGTTTCATATTAAAAGTCATTATCAATTTAAAAAAAAATATTTACATAATAACAATAAAATTTATGTGTAAAATAATAAATTCCGTCATTTTGACGGATTGGTAGTTCTAGTGTTAAATTTTAGGTGAAATTACAACATTCTCTGAAAAAATTGAACTATTCATGCTCCACAAAAACTAAATAATAAATTCAAAATTATATCGGAAGCGCTGTGGACTCGAAAATCAACTTAATTGTAAAAAAATAATTTAAAAACCTATTTAATTTTGATTTGTAACTTAATGTAAATTTTTTTAGAAGCAAATTATATGCATGGGACCGAATTATTGCCGTTTACCTCAATATAATTGGAACAAACGATGAAAATATTCAAATATCAACAATAAAATTGATAATTTTGAAACGTATTCATTCATCATTTCATTGTCTCAAATAAATTCCAAACTTCATAATGTTGCAAAATGTAAAAACAAACTAGTTTTATAAAATTTCTCAATGAAACCTTAAAACTTTACATTAATAAGCGTAAATGCATAATATGTAGGGTATTTCTGACAAATTTATATTTTAAAAACTTTAAAATCATTATGATCATTAAAATTGTAATGATTTTTTCATTTAATTTTGTTTATTTAATTTATACTAAAGATGAAAATTACAGTACAACTTTGTACTGTAATTTCTTGCTTTTCTGGGCCCCTAGAGAGAGGCAAAACACTAATTCTTGCTTTTTTTCTGTTAATAGTGTTAATATAATTTTGATTTAATAAAAATATTTCACCTATTTTCTTATTTTTATGTTTAAATAGAATGTAGGCAAAATTTGGGTTCGAACTCATTCACTACAATACAACCGAAACTTTAAATAGCAAACCCAAATTTCATTAAATTTCATTAAAAAAAAAAATTATTGCATACAAAAAAAAAATTTTTTTTTCAAAATGTAAAAATTTGGATTTGAACTGAGGTTCCCATATTTCATATTATAAGGCAAAATTTTAAAATTCTTAAAGATTAAGACCTAAATCCGGACATAGGGTGGACAAGACACTGTTCCTAGCCTTGGGAATAATATTGCGGTTTCAAGGGAATATACATGGAAAACGTTTCAACAACTTAATCTAACCTAACACATAAACTAAACCTAATATTGATTCCCATTACACACCCCAAACTAAACCCTACCCGACTTGAATATAAACAAAATCTATAATTTAATCGCGCAATTTTAGTATAAATATATTCAACAAAATTTTTATTTTTAAATATTAATGAGGATATTTTTTTTTTTCATGAAAATTAAAAATTGCTTTTCAATTCAAAATCAGAATGAACATCATAAGTCAAAATTATAATTTCAATCAAAAATATTGTACATATTATAAAAATAATCAGAATTGAATCAAAATTTTAAAATTAATAACAAAATAGCTAAAATTACACTAATTAATGTGAAGGAATTTAAGAAAAAATTAATGGAATAAGTTCTTACCATAAAGCTGCAAATAACAACTAGAAGAATGAAAATTTTCGGAATGTTTTATTGAACTTTTTTCAACAATAACAACAATATTAAGAGATTTGCATCGGGAATCAATTTTCAAAACATTTTTAATACCAAAAAGAAGACATGTATTGTACAAGGAGTTTGAAATATGTATTTTTGTAGAAAAAATGTTGGAACAACTCAAATTAGACAAATCTAAGAATCTGGACTAGAAAAACTGCTTCTAAGTTTATTGTATAAGGTAAACAGCTGTATTTTCGACTAATTTTTCACACCTCTGACTAAAACACATCTTACTTTGATATTCCTTTATTACATCATTGGTTTCGATCGGTTTAAACAAATTTTTAGATAAAATTTTTAATTTTTTATTCAGTTTGTTTCTATTTTGATCTTTTTAGTGTACCTAATTCAGTCCGTAAACAAGCTATAATATAAACTTATGGAGAAGAATATTATGGAAAAGAATATTATCCTATTATAGACACGAAGCAACAAATTATTATGGACATGTTTACAGAACTTCTACACCTTTGAAGATAGAAAGCTGAAATTTTATACGAACATGCAAATTTTTGATACCATTTTTCTTCTACATCGTACCTTACAGGAGTCTGAAATTTTAGCAGCTCTTAGATATTCATAAATATTTTATTTCGTTAGAAGAACATTTTTTCCCGTCTCCATCCCTTCTCAACTTATCGCATCTTGAAATTTGTAAAATTTGAATTTTTGACGCCTTATATTTTAAAAACCACAAGCTTTTTTAAATTTCTATAAACGCAAAAAACCAACGGTAAATTCCATGACACTAAAAAGTATCTTTATTTTTCTTAGCTCATGCAATTAACCATTAAAATTGAGCATTATGGTATGGTTTGGCCCAACTTTATTATTGTATATATTTTAAAATTGCATTTTCTAATAATTATTTTGCTAACATACTTAGTTTCTCTCTATATAGTTTCTATATAGTTGCTAGTTACTTAGTTTCTCTAACAAGAAAATGAGTATTAAGTGAATGTACCTAAAGCGGTCTTAAATGTTTTTAATCATTTTTTTAACTCTGAAGAAAAACCATAGAACCACAATAATAAAAAATATATTTTTTCTTAAATTTTAGGTGAAATTACAACATTCTCTGAAAAAATTGAACTATTCATGCTCCACAAAAACTAAATAATAAATTCAAAATTATATCGGAAGCGCTGTGGACTCGAAAATCAACTTAATTGTAAAAAAATAATTTAAAAACCTATTTAATTTTGATTTGTAACTTAATGTAAATTTTTTTAGAAGCAAATTATATGCATGGGACCTCAATATAATTGGAACAAACGATGAAAATATTCAAATATCAACAATAAAATTGATAATTTTGAAACGTATTCATTCATCATTTCATTGTCTCAAATAAATTCCAAACTTCATAATGTTGCAAAATGTAAAAACAAACTAGTTTTATAAAATTTCTCAATGAAACCTTAAAACTTTACATTAATAAGCGTAAATGCATAATATGTAGGGTATTTCTGACAAATTTATATTTTAAAAACTTTAAAATCATTATGATCATTAAAATTGTAATGATTTTTTCATTTAATTTTGTTTATTTAATTTATACTAAAGATGAAAATTACAGTACAACTTTGTACTGTAATTTCTTGCTTTTCTGGGCACCTAGAGAGAGGCAAAACACTAATTCTTGCTTTTTTTCTGTTAATAGTGTTAATATAATTTTGATTTAATAAAAATATTTCACCTATTTTCTTATTTTTATGTTTAAATAGAATGTAGGCAAAATTTGGGTTCGAACTCATTCACTACAATACAACCGAAACTTTAAATAGCAAACCCAAATTTCATTAAATTTCATTAAAAAAAAAATTATTGCATACAAAAAAAAAATTTTTTTTTCAAAATGTAAAAATTTGGATTTGAACTGAGGTCCCCATATTTCATATTATAAGGCAAAATTTTAAAATTCTTAAAGATTAAGACCTAAATCCGGACATAGGTTGGACAAGATACTGTTCCTAGCCTTGGGAATAATATTGCGGTTTCAAGGGAATATACATGGAAAACGTTTCAACAACTTAATCTAACCTAACACATAAACTAAACCTAATATTGATTCCCATTACACACCCCAAACTAAACCCTACCCGACTTGAATATAAACAAAATCTATAATTTAATCGCGCAATTTTAGTATAAATATATTCAACAAAATTTTTATTTTTAAATATTAATGAGGATATTTTTTTTTTTTCATGAAAATTAAAAATTGCTTTTCAATTCAAAATCAGAATGAACATCATAAGTCAAAATTATAATTTCAATCAAAAATATTGTACATATTATAAAAATAATCAGAATTGAATCAAAATTTTAAAATTAATAACAAAATAGCTAAAATTACACTAATTAATGTGAAGGAATTTAAGAAAAAATTAATGGAATAAGTTCTTACCATAAAGCTGCAAATAACAACTAGAAGAATGAAAATTTTCGGAATGTTTTATTGAACTTTTTTCAGCAATAACAACAATATTAAGAGATTTGCATCGGGAATCAATTTTCAAAACATTTTTAATACCAAAAAGAAGACATGTATTGTACAAGGAGTTTGAAATATGTATTTTTGTAGAAAAAAATGTTGGAACAACTCAAATTAGACAAATCTAAGAATCTGGACTAGAAAAACTGCTTCTAAGTTTATTGTATAAGGTAAACAGCTGTATTTTCGACTAATTTTTCACACCTCTGACTAAAACACATCTTACTTTGATATTCCTTTATTACATCATTGGTTTCGATCGGTTTAAACAAATTTTTAGATAAAATTTTTAATTTTTTATTCAGTTTGTTTCTATTTTGATCTTTTTAGTGTACCTAATTCAGTCCGTAAACAAGCTATAATATAAACTTATGGAGAAGAATATTATGGAAAAGAATATTATCCTATTATAGACACGAATCAACAAATTATTATGGACATGTTTACAGAACTTCTACACCTTTGAAGATAGAAAGCTGAAATTTTATACGAACATGCAAATTTTTGATACCATTTTTCTTCTACATCGTACCTTACAGGAGTCTGAAATTTTAGCAGCTCTTAGATATTCATAAATATTTTATTTCGTTAGAAGAACATTTTTTTCCCGTCTCCATCCCTTCTCAACTTATCGCATCTTGAAATTTGTAAAATTTGAATTTTTGACGCCTTATATTTTAAAAACCACAAGCTTTTTTAAATTTCTATAAACGCAAAAAACCAACGGTAAATTCCATGACACTAAAAAGTATCTTTATTTTTCTTAGCTCATGCAATTAACCATTAAAATTGAGCATTATGTTAACCCCTCTTTACACACTTACAATATGGTTTGGCCCAACTTTATTATTGTATATATTTTAAAATTGCATTTTCTAATAATTTGCTAACATACTTAGTTTCTCTCTATATAGTTTCTATATAGTTGCTAGTTACTTAGTTTCTCTAACAAG